TGAACAATCTAGATGACCTTTGTGCGCAGCTGACTCACATTTCCAATGACGAGAGAAAAGAACTCCGTCAGCTCCTACTTAAGTATGCGAGCATCTTCCCATGGCAAGGTGCAAGACTGGGACGAACAAATATCGTCAAGCATAAGATTGATACCGGTGAAGCTAGGCCCATCTGGCAACCATCCAGACGTATTCTATCTCCTTTGCTGGACGAAGTAAACCGTCTGGTTGCAGAGGTGCTTCGAGATGAGGTTATAAAGCTATCCAAGTCACCATGGGCCTCTCCTATCGTGCTGGTAAAGAAGAATGACGGCAGTCTGCGGTTATGCACCGACCATAGGAAGTTGAATGCTGTAATCAAGATGGATGCCTTCCCCCTTCCCCAAATAAATGACTCACTTGACTCCTTACATGGGTCTCAGTGGTTTTCCACCTTAGATCTGAAGTCGAGATATTGGCAAGTGGAGGTTGCAGAAGCAGACCGGGAAAAGACAGCTTTTATTTTGCCAAACGGGCTTTATGAATTTCAAACGATGCCCTTTGGACTCTGCAACGCAGCGACCACCTTCCAACGCCTCATGCAAACAGCTCTGATCAGCCTATTCCCAAGGCATTGCATTATCTATGTTGACGACATCCTCGTTTTTGGTGGAGACATTGAGGAGCACAGTGTCAACCTGGAACTAGTGTTGGACCGCCCATGGGATGCAGGGTTAACCTTGAACCCAAAGAGGTGCCGTTTCCTGCAACGCTCGGTCATCTTCCTGGGACATACAGTCTCGTCGAATGGGATGGCAGTCACCGACGACCGTGCACAGCAAGCGAGGACATGGCCTACACCATCCAACCAGACAAAGCTCCGCAGTTTACTAGGTCTGGCAAATTATTACCGGCGTTTCGTAAGGGGTTTTGCTAAGATCCCCAGCCCGCTGTATGAGTTAACGGAAAAGCAGGCGAAGAAGAATGTTAGGTGGGAGAAAGAGTACGATGAGGCGTTTAAGGAACTGAAGCGAATGCTCTGCTCCGCTCCCATCCTAGCATTGCCAAACTTCGAATTGAGCGCTCCACCGTTTGTACTGGATATGGATACGAGCGACGAGGCCGTGGACGGTGTACTCTCACAAAAGGACATAAAAGGCAGAGAACACGTCATCGCCTATGCAAGTACAAGACTCAGTAAAAAAGTGAGACAAAAGTGCAGTGCAACGTGAGCTGTTCGCAATCTACTCAATAGTTTGACACTTCAGACATTACCTGATAGCGAGGCAGCTCACTGTTAGAACTGGTCATCAGGCCCTCACCTGGTTAAAGACAGTGAAGGAAATCGATCGTTCAGTTGCACTCTGGTACGAAGAACTGCAACAGTATGATTTCACAGTCCAACATCGAAAAGGAAAATGGCATGGTAATGCGGATGCACTATCTCGCAGACCGACTGCAGCAGAAACAGGTAACGTTATGGTGCGCACCGTATTTTTGAGCGATCCTACACCAGACATCATTGGAGAAATACGCAGCGTACTGACCTCGATACGGCTCTGGTATGAGAAATTCCTGGCATCCCCGCATAAGCCCACATCGGAGGAGATGACGTCGACCAGCAAGGCGACTAGACGAATCTGGCAAGAGTGGTGGAAACTCTCTCTCTGGAGGATGAGATTCTATGGTGCCATTAACGTGTCCAGCCTCCTAAGCGTCTAGTGTTTTCTGGATCATTAGTTCAAACACTTCTGCAAGACTTACACGATCAACTCGGCCACGTGGGTGAAAAGAAGATGCTAGACGCCTCAAGCAAAAGATACTGGTCGCCCTTGCTCATCCCAGATGTTTGGAATTTCTGCTGAACCTGTACCACTTGCAGCAGTTTTAAAGGGCCTCAACCCACAGCCATTGCACCTTTACAGCCCATGCCCACTGGTTTCCCTGGGGAAAGAGTAGGTATAGACATTATGGGTCCTCTTCCACCCACCAAGAGAGGAAACCGATATATTTTGGAGATGGTAGATTACTTCACGAAAGCGTCTGAGGCCGAACCCATGCAGTTACAAGATGCTGAAACGGTTGCTTCAGTTCTCTTCAATCGGTGGATTTGCCAGCATCGAGTGCCCGAATCCGTTCATAGCAATCAAGGCCCTAACTTCGGGAACCGACTCTTCACTGAACTATGTAAGATGTGCCAGATCTCAAAGACACACACAACACCTGCACATTGCAAAGCAACGGCCAGGTGGAAAGAACGAATCGCACCCTGATCGGACTACTGAAGGCCTTCACTAAAGACGCACAACCAGATGACTGGGATTTAAGTCTAGGGCGTGTCCTTCCCGCATACAGAGCCACGGTGCATACGTCAACGGGTGTTTCTTCATTCAAGATGCTCACAGGTCGTGAAATAAGAGTGCCTTCTGACATCTTCCTGCCAAGCACCGACGAATTAGCCAACAGTGTTCCAGAGTTTATACTGCGCCTGAAAGAAAGCATAAGTAAAACGTTAAATATGGCACGCAAACATTTACGGCTGTCTTATATCAGGCAGAAGAAATATTATGACCGACGTAGCCGGACGAATGTCTACCGAGAAGGCGACTTGGTGCAAATTTACAGACCGGTTCCCCCACCTAGAATACACCGCAAGTTCCATCACCCATGGAGCAAGGACCCATTTCGGGTGGTGAAGGTGCTCTCGCCTACAAACTACCTCGTCCGCAACGCACAAATTGCGTACCCAGCCGGTAACCGTTCATCACAACAAGATGAGACCATATAAAGGGCCAACCTCCGGTTGG